TCCATTGCTTAACATTCTACACAACTAACTGATATTAACTCTGGGAGGAAATTATTTGTTTCTTATACTAACCATGTACAAAATGCCAAACTTATTTTTGATAATGCAACTTATGCTCTTCCCTTTCTTCGCTTATTGCTTATTGAATATTGTGTTTATAATTATTGTTTGCGAATAATATAATCATATGTAACTAATCGATAACTTCATGCTTAATACCCTTTGTAAATAACTTATACAATTTAATTAAGTACATATTTTGATAAACATAGGTCTTGTAAAATATACTTTATATATTATATATATATTAGGTGTGGGAAAAAGTTCGTGGCATTTTTCCCGTTAGATGACATTAAAAAAACGCCACTTTTCCCATACCTAATATATAATGTTTATACATGATGATTCTTAATTACATATTTTGATTTTAATTTCAAAATATTAATCAATGTTTTCCTACAATTTTCTTTTCGAAATATATTTTCTTAATAATTTTTACTTCTTAAAATTTTTCAAAAGTATAAAAAAATCCAACTTCTGCCTAACTTTTTATTTGAGAGACTTGAAAGGAAATTGAAAAGATATTGAATTAAGAATCATTCTGTATGTATTTTCTAAAATCAAGCTGTAATTTCATATATGAGTTATGTTATTCTTATTTCATAATGGCTGGATTTGATTGAAATTATGATTTCTGCTAGAAGATTTTATTTCGTATGTTACAAAAGTTTCAAGAAATACTGGTTCGTTACTTATAACAAAATATAAGACTGAGAAAAAGAACGTTCTCGCCTGCGGAGAAATGTATTATCTAATTGAAATTATCTTCGTTATAGATATAGTTCTTTACAATGAATAGTGAATGAGATTAAGTAATTAATGAATAAATTATATAGATAATTAGTGAAATATGTAAATAGGTTACACTGTGGAATGTCCGAAAAATTGTATGAATATAATGTATGAATTTTATTCTACTGTACAAATATTTTCAATGGATAAATACTCATATGTGCATCTTTAATTACATTACCTAATCCTACTTGCGACTAATACATTTGCAGTATTCACCTCCATAGAATGTACTTTACATGAAAAGAAGTATATTTTATGCAAATATTTATGTTATTCATGCTGTTAATACATTACATCTCTATTGGGAAAAATAACAAATACATTATTTATTGAAGTGCATTTACAAAACTAATCTATTATGCTATATACTATTGTCACATACAAATCTATTTGGATAGTGAAAAATTAGCTAATATTAAATTAGCTAATATTAATGTTAGCGCATTGCAAAATCTATTTACAGAATATTTGGAAAATCAAAAGTCGAGGTGGAAGGCCATCTTCTTGGCGAGGAAACAGATGAAATTGATTTAGCTGTGGATTTTTCAAATTATCATAAAAACGTGAAGAATTCTGCGGACATAACTTCTGTATAAATTTTATAAGAGTATTATCTAATAAGAATTTTTTCTTCTGTTAATTAGAAAATTAATCGAATGTTGTCAATAATTTCCTTTTTTTTAATATTATAATAAAACTAACAGAGAAAAATGTAAAAAGTCACAATTAATAATTCTGTTATAATATTCATAAGATAATTTTCATCTGTCACATTAAAAAATAAGCTGCATCACAAAAACAATATCAGTAATTTGTACAAGACTTTGTTACTTGACAAATTAATTTTGTGAGTGATATTTATGCTCAAACGAATCAATTAATATATTTTTATAGATTTTATATATTAAGATGTATAAATAATACTGATTTATCTAATTATAAATGTTTGATAACAGGATATAACTTTTTTTGCAATTAATACAAGTATGAACAAATATAGTTTTATCTCATTATACAGGGTTTCTCAAAAGTGTGGAAAATTGTTTTTCTTTAAAATTCTGTGTACAGACATAAGAATATGTCGCAGTTGCAATTCACATCTATTTAATTTATGATATTAATACATTAGGCAGCGTTTTTTCACAGAGTATCTCCGAATATCCCTACTGGTTATATGATAGTATGAAATATGGAATTGACTACGTTTTCTTCTCCTTTACATTAGTTGAAGAGAAGATTGCAGTAGCAAGATGACGCTGAAAATTTGTAATAAAAAATCGCGACTGCAACAAACCCTTTCAAAATCTAACCTCGCCTATGGCTTTGGAAAAAGGCCAATCGAAGTAATTCCTATTTAACTTAAAAAAAAAAAAACCTTTATTTTTTCACTTTGTGTATTAATAAATTAAAATATTTCTGGTGTACTATGTCGTTGACCAGCACTCGCGCCAAAAGCTAAAAATATTTTTTTGAAATATCGGAACACGTGTTTCGTTTTCCGATATCTTCATTTTCACAAAAATTATTATGGAGTTTTCACACTTTTGGGAAACTATATACAGACGTACTTAATTCAA